GAATAAAAATTATTATTTACTATATAAGATTATTTTAATTGATATTAATATCAGGCGATGTATTATTTTATTAATTTTCACACACATATTTCTAATACTTTTCTTTCAAAATGAGTTAAAATTTGACTCTTTTACTATAATATATTATATTCTTAGTTTATTCAAATTATTAATATGAAAAAATATTTTTTGAATTTTTATCGATTAATATTTTTAGAATGAAATGTTTCCTTAGCTTTTATTGTGAAAGATAAATTCTATTCTTGTATAAAACAATTTACTAGTATGTAGATTGAAATTAAAAAAAATCAGGCCAAAAAAAATTTGACAGTGAAATTTATAACTATAAATTCACTTTGATTTCAAAATTTTCAAGATTTAACTAAGAATGGTATTTTTTAAATCGAATGTTTTGTTTTATGAAAAGTACTTTATAGCGATTGCCACATCGAACAATTAGAAATTTAATTCAATGACAACTTTTATGATATTGTCTGAGTTCTTCAGCAGGCAAACTTTAAAGCTAAATGATTGTGGTAGAGTCTTGTAAACATAACTCTACAACAATCATTCAATCATCGACGCAAATATAATATAATTGAAAAATAAGCTTCGATAATTTCTAAACTACTAGTGTATTTCTGGATTTTCAATAGCACTAAAAGCTACTCATGGATAACATATTCTTAAATCAAAACTCTCGATTTGACAAAAAATTTATTTGACACAGAATTATTAGGATCCAACTTATTTCTGAATGCCTGAACTACGTGTATTTTTCTCCTGCTCTTTTCTCAGATTTGTCTTAGTTATATGAGAGGAATATATACACAACTTATATATTGCAAAACATTTTTTAAATAACAATATCGCAACTATGCTTTCCATTTTTTCCCCACATACAAATTGTTTGGGGGATATCAAAAGACACTACTTACGAAGTAAAATATAAACTATTAGCTGCTCAGAAATTTTCTAGAGATAGTTATTTTAATTGGACACGTAAGAAAATCATCATGACTTCGGACAACAGATAATCTCTTCGACCTTTGAGAACTTACGTCACTCTCGCTTGTCCGAATGACGAGGTCCAAGTTCAGTTCGAAGCCTACCGGCTTTCCAACAAGTAAAGTCCAAACGCTTCTTTGTCCTTTGTGAGGCATGATGAAGGATTAATCAAATATTCATTCCACACGACAAAAAATAAAATCATCATGACATGGGACCTTATATATTAACTGTAAACTTTGAGAACTCACGTCACTTTCATTTGTCTGAATAACGAGATACAAGTTCAGTCCGAAGCTAAGTGGCTTTCCAACAAGTAAAGTCCAAACGCTTGTTTGTCCTTTTTGATGCATGATAAAGGATAGATCCCTACAGTAGGGTCAGAATAGTGGTAGTATATTTTTCACCTCAAAAGTCAAACTTTGATCAAAATTGAGATGCTTCCTAACTTTTTAAGAAATTCCTTTATGCTTCGTCCTCCGTCAAACGGGCTAAAAAACAGCAGTTCTACATTGCTTGCCTCTAGTACAGTAAACTGATGGATGACGTTGGTTTACTCTAAAGTGTCACTCGAGTTTTATTATGGAGTTGTGGGTTTAGAAATTGAGAGAATGCTCAATTCATGTTCAAAGAAATGCTCGCACTGTTGGCACATTCGAGAGACATGCTTTTTTATCTTTACGAGTTGAATTTCAGTGGCGTGAAATGGAAAAAGTGGATTGTGTGCTTTGGAGACCTTCGCAAGTTTATTATGCTTTTGTGACGAAGTGATGTACCGTGCATGCTGTTGTGCGTAGCATATAAAACGAGCATAATATTACAGGAAGCGGGGATTTTATTTTGCTCTGATTGAGTTTGCCTTTGACAGAGTATAGTCAACTTGACAAACAGTAAAGCTCATGCCCTGCATGAGAAAGACTTGTACACTTTTGAGAATTTTCAATTTGTAGTATCAATCAATTATGATGTCTTATGCATGTATCGCCAGCAATGCCCCATCTTTGACTTGAATCTCTTCGATTAACCATGGTTTCCTACCAATCTCACATACGGAGGAATCTCTAGATACCACCCCTCGCTCATGAAGTATAACCAGACATGGTTATTTTAGGCTACTCTATACCAAGTTGCCTAAATATACTATGCCTAAATTACCTAAGTTCACATTCCTTCTAGAGCATCTAGACTCTAATTGGCTCGGAATTGAGCCGTGTGAAATTTCAAACATTCAAATTGTTATTATTGTTACTCAATTTGTTAGCTCCACGAGTAAGTAATACGAAGTGTATAAATTAAATTTTCTCTAGCTGCGAGTCTCATGCAAGCCCCGCGTAATAGTGACTCTCTCTCTCCCCTATCTCCGAACCACTCAATTTCAATCATGTAGGCTTCTAGCAGAACATCGCCTAGATTAACTTTCTTGATGCGACTAAATTAAACGTATTCAGTCGAGCGACTGTTATACCCATGTCGGAGTAAAATCGGAGTATAACCGATTCACGATGAGATACATTGTTACCTCCATTTTCATCTTTCCACACATGAACATTCTAGCTCTGGAAGAAACAAATGAGCATGAAAAAACTTTGTCCTCATTTGCAATTAAGCAATATAATCAGATATCATGTTTCACACTTGAACATAAGTCTCATTAATTTTAAAAAATCTGAAGATGGCAATTATCAGTAATTTTTTACGGACGTCTTAAATCTAGTTAGGAGTTTTTTACTTGTCACATTTTGATCATCTTTCTTTATAATCCTAATTAATTGAAAAATAAATAATACTTAACTCAAGATAATTTAATTACATCATCCCATCTCACATCAATAAAATCTTAAATACAATCTACTATGCATTTACCAATTTTAACTTGACTGCTCAGCACATAGCCTCACTATCATGAATAAAAAAATAATGGCTCGTAGATTTATCATTAGTTGTTCATCTTGTTATCTTGTGTAAAAGTTCTTTGAGATTTAGGGTTTAGGGTGTATCTCTTCCTGTATCTCAATTCTATCTTCATTTACATCTTTTTTTTTATGCAAATTATAGTATCAGAGAGGAAAGAAATTCAAACTCTAATAATTGAAATATATGCTTGATGTTTTTTGGTATTTTTTTCTTTCTTATGTTCAAATATATTTATAATAAGGCATGCATTCAAAAGAATTGGTGTTCAATACTCTGATCAACTTCTGATTTTATTTTTCTCATTGACCCTACTTACTTTTGCTAGAGGTTTTTTGGATCTCAATGTAAGACTTTTCTATTCTATTTGAGTTTTCTAATTTTTTGGTAAAAAAATGTGATGTAAACTCTATTTTCATCAATTGAGTAGATTCTTAAATCTAGCTCATTTTCCAAAACATAACCAATCAAAATTGAAATAGAAACTTATTTTTAACAAAATGTATTTTTTGGAAAAATATACAAATTTTATAATATACTCTGACAAATAAGTCTGAAACTCAAAATTATTATTTAAGATGATTAATAATACTTTGATATTGAAATTAATTGGGAAAAAATGAAAAGAAAATTTATTGATCAACATATATGTTTGCACTTATTTTTTGATAGAAAATATTCTAAATTTTAAAGATATTCAGTTTTTTACAATAATATTAATTTTTTGTACGTACAATTATGTATGTCTATGTATTTTTTTATTTTTTAATACATGTTAGTAACATAAAATGCTAAAAATTAGCTTGACTTTGAAATAGTATATATTATAGGATGTGCATGTGTTATTCACACCGCATTCTATTCCAATTTAAGAAAATTCAAATAATAGAATAATAAACATAGGTAAATATTTATAAAAATGATTCTCAACTGAGTATATCAGTGAAGAAAATAAATTTGATGTAGAAATCATGACAGAATTCCAAGAAATTGAATTCCTCAAGTAAAATGCAAGTGAAGCAAGAACAACCAATTTCACAAAGTTACTAGGTACATGGAGAGATCAATTTTCCTTCACACAGCTTTGGATTTGTATGGAGCTATGAATGCAAATTTTACGTCTTTGAAATAATAAATAAATAAATACGTAAATAAACTACAATAAATATCATTTACTTTACTTTCATTAAGTTTGTAGTGTAAATTAATTTAGACAATGTGCTACTACAGAGAAATAGGCAGTGCTATATAAATAAATGTTACGTGCTCTTTCTCTGCATGGTTTTTTCCTCAATATACAGTTTGACTTAGAAAGCTCAAATATCATAACTTGAGGCTATTGGGGCGTAGCCCATGTTATCCGTCTGGATTCAGTCAGAATATATCTTGATGAATTATTCTCCGACTTTTTGATAAAGTACTCACTCTCACTGAATTATGATAAGAATTATTCTCAAATGCGATGCTTGGTACTAGGACATTCAGTTTTGAGTCACCGTCTTTCAATGAGTTCAATCTTCGCACAATCAACCAATGAGCAACCGCGCGAAGGCAAAAGTAGGCGAATATCATACAAAACAAATGAAGGCTCAAACGCGACGACGGTTGAGTAAAGAGTAAAACTCACAAAAGGAGAAGAGCAAAGGAAGCGTGCATTGTTCACATGATTCGACACCCGCGGTACCGCCGAGGCGAATTATGCGAAAAGGCGACTTACTTCTTGCGAACTCCACATGAGGCATGAAGCAGACAGATGGACTGTGGCAAAGCTGGACTACAGTAAATGTCACGGCCACAGTGTAGTACAGTAAGCGAGGTCCCGTGGAAGTCAATGTTCGCGGCACTGTCGGACACTGCAACAGCGGTCGAGCAAACCACATGCAGCGAGCCGAACCCCGACGACGTCACCCGTAGTGCTGCGGACTGTGGTGACCTTGACTGAGGTCGAAGTCATCGCATTCTCAAGAGAAGAGAAGAGAAGGCAAGGGAGCATACGAGAAATAGAAGCAGGGAGGGAGGGAGAGAGAGGGGGGGGGGGGCTATGGAGGACCCCACAGGGTGTCACAGTGCTCGAGTTGCAGAGAGAGCAGAGCAGAGCAGCACAGCACAGCACAGTGTGCAGAGGCGACTGGAACCTGCCTGCCTGCAGGGAAGGGGAAGGGGAGGGCAGGCGACGAGAGGGGAGCAAACCAGTGAGCGGATCGAAGAGAGAGAGACGAGTGTGTGTGTGTGTGCGCGTGAGTGAGAGTGACAGGGGTGGTGGTGTCAAGCTCTTCCGTCTTGTTCCAGCGCATTCTGTAGAGATCACGAAGTGCAGCGGCTAGTTTCGTTTCGGCCCCCTGATCTGTAACTTCTGAGGATTTTTTGTGGAGAAGAGGAAATTTTGGACCGATTTCTTGGGTAATGAGAAGGAGGGCGAAGACGAAGACGGGCAAGGGGACGAGGAGGAGGAGGAGGAGGACGAGCACAGCAGGAGGAGTAGCTTAGAGTAGAGTTGAGGTTTGGAAGCGCATGTAGGAAGACAGACAGGGCAAGGACGGACTGGAGGCTGCGTTGCTGGCTTGTTCCATAGATAAAAACTCCTCGGAGGTCGAAGTTTCAGGTCTTTGTCGTGGGTCGCAAGTTCCGGACGGACGCGCGAACTGACAGACAGCAGAGGATTGCGCCAGCTCTCTTTGGCTTTTTAGATGCTAATCAACTGGCCTTCGGTTTGGTACACTTTAGTCCCGCACATGCCTGACAAGCGGGCATTAGCGCAGCGAATCGGTTCTTGAAAGTACATGTGTGCCTTAGGCAGGCGGTCGGGTTGGTGAGGAAGCAGGATATGCGTCCCAGAAGTCTGTGGACGGGTAGTACACTGCATTGTGCTGAGGAGACCCGCGGCAGTTTCGGTAGATAGGTGCTGCATTTTCTTTTGGTTGCCCAGGCCCAGGAGAGTTTTTCCCTGCTCCCTATTCAAAAGCACGAGTACTAGCGCAATCGCAGGTGCCAGGTGTTTTCCCTTCGACTTCGACCAGGGTCGAGCACAATGAGGTATGTATGTTCATTGAGATCCGGCCTTCTGTCCTCTCTGCCTACCTCACCTTTTTACAAGATTGATCTCCACACTCGGTTGTGGAGCCTTCACTAGTTCACTACTCTTTGTGACCTCACTTTCTTACCGTTTTCTCGGAAGTAACTGCAGTCTTCCTCCTTGTAGATATTAGACTTTCTTAGCAGACTCTTTCTCCAAACTATCATGCGCCAACAACAGCAATTTTCATGTAGATGCAAGGGAGCACACATGTAGGGATGGTTAGGAGGGGATTGCAAGAATGATCCTCCTGGGTGGATAAATGTCATTTCGAAGTTGCAACGAAGTGGAACCGAAGATCGGCGATGAGCGATTTTTATGGCATACGAGAGAACAGCGTAAATGGAGTTTTTGGAAACCGCGAATCTTTTCAGAAGGAATTACAGTGAAACTACTGGGACTAAAATTTTGTCCGTTATTCATCGAGAGTGCGAGAACCTAGATGGGGTTGAACTCTCGGTAGCAGTTCACCTTCTTCATCGTTAGTTGGATAGATACTATCGTTAGTTGGATAGACACTGTGAATGAGACAGGGAGACGTTACGTCCTCAGACTGATTTGGAAATAGCTTCGACCATTGACTATGCCATAGTTTACTACCGATTATGATAATGGTGCGACAATGCAATGCACTATCACACCTTCAGTAGAGTGTTTAGCACAACATGGGCAAGTTATTTGGGGTGTATAGTTGGACGCTTGATTTTCCACAAGTTAGAAGGATAGAAGACAATCGGTTGAAAGATGAATTGACGGAAGAGGATACAACTGCTTGGTCATTGATGTGAATGTTGTAATTTTATTGAAGCAGGATCTGGTCCGGATTGCGTAGACCCGTGTGATCAAGTGCATCGAGAAGCGGCTATGTCTTCGACCTTGAGATTGGTGAAGCTTCTCGTTTATGGAGCGATATTATGTGTACTGCTTATAAATGTCCATCCAGACAACTGCCAACACTTCCCAGGTGCAGGTATAAGTTCATGAAACATCTTCTAAGTTTGAAGATTTTCTATTTCTCCTCATCACATGGTCAAGAAGTGCAATTCTTTCTTAGACTATCAACGATACATAGACTTTCAGATAATTATTGTCTAGCTACTCTTTATCCCCACAGCCACCTCACTTCGTACTTCGTAGTTTATTGGGTTGTCAAGATTGAGTATTTCGAGTATTCTAAGGATCCATTTACTTTTAAGATTTTGATCGTTTAGTTATCTTATCTCGTTATAGTCATCTTCACGTTCAATATTCGTCATTGAGTTTACTGTGTTTCCAAGATCATCTTCAATCAATCACCTCCATTTGCTCTTTCAATATATTCTCCAACTAAATCAATGATTGTATTCAATGCTTCAGCTACGTTTGTCACCACTTTTTATCGTGATCACTTAAACCTTTATTGGGGTTGGAGGAAGAAATCGGAATGATAGGGAGTATGAAATATCTTGTTAGTACCTACGTGTAGGCTTATTGCAGCTTCAGAGAATAGAGAAGTGACTAATACATATGAAAAGCTTCCATTTGGAATGTACTTATGGGGAAAAAATGAAGAACGTCAACATTTTCACATTCGTGTGATTGTTGACTTGTTAACATGCTTCCTACCATGTATATCTAGTTTCTTTTTGCTTGGTATATATGAACGTGAAACTACATCGTTTTGGACTGCCTAGTAAATCATGGTTTGGTTCTCTTAGAGTAACTACAACATAAGGATTTCCCGTCCTCATTTCATAGGGTGACTTATACAAACTGGAGAAAGTTCATCGCATATTATTCCAACAATAAGTTCACTGTCTGGTTCATTTTTCGATATGGAGATTCCAGTTTACTTTGCAGTTAGATATCTCTTAGTTCCAATTATCTCCCTCAAATAGTTCAAGTTTGTTAGATGTTTGGACTGCAAAGGGAATATGGTGTCGGGGTTCATACTATGATAAATATCCACTCAACTTAAGCTAGATATCGATATAGTGCAAAGGAGCGAGATGTCGCGATTATGTACTAACTATCAAACCAATATACTAAACATGATAAGTAACTTGTACGTTAAATCATAGTAGCTGCAGGTTGCAGCAAGTATGAAACAACTTCTGGAAAGTCCATCTACTGTGATTTGATTGTATAAATTACCTTCATCTATTTATGATATGTGATAGGTTATGCATTGTAAGTAGTAAATTAGATAATGTTAGTGTCACATGGGATGGGATGGGTTTTTTGACATGAAAGTATGTTTCTACATTCTTGTAGTAGGTAATAAATCACCTAAAAGAAATTATCAATTTACCAAGTCTGATGATCACTTTTGTTTGTGATATATAGCAATCTATCAATAATTTCTAAAACTACAGTTGATCTTGCAGAAACTATACATAGGCGATTTCTTCAAGGTGTACAGCATGTCTACTTCGCAAGATCTGCGGGGAAGTTCATCACTACAGCCCAACCACTCTCTGCCGCGGTTAGACCAGCCGCCATAACAATAGGTTATTTTTCCTCACCATTTTGTCTATGTCATTGTTGCACAATCACTTCAGATAGGAAGAGGATTTTAACTCAAAAGTTTCGGCTAATCTTTTGCTGCGTCTTGTCTGCAAGTCTACTTGCAGACAATAGTAAGTCACTCTATGTTCACATTGCAATTGATGTTGTATATTATATTTATGTAATTTCAGAGGTCCGCCCTTTATCTGGATTGTGCATTTTTCCATATTCTTCACAACTTGCATACCATCAGCTCTCTTTATTCACTTTCAATATGACATCCTATTTCAGTTCTCTACTACAAATATCTTACTGTCATTCTCGTCTACTTGTATTTTTCCATCTTCGTAGCTTGCATTGCAGCAGGAGATTTGACATTGTACAACAAGAGATTTTTTCACACGACATTTGACATAGTACAACAAGACACCTGTACTTACTTCACCATGTTAAGTTCCATCTACATTGGTGCATACGGCCAAGTTCTTCTCTGATCCTTAGTAGAGATTGTTACACGTTCTATTGATTATTGATTTTTATCCAACATCTTTTGGAAAGAAAGTTTTCAAAAAGATGCAAAGTAGATGGAAACAAAGTTTCCATCTACTTTGATGGTTATCTTTATAATACAAATTTTATTTTCATCTCCAAGTTGTGTCTTCCCTTACATCTATTCCATTCAATATGTTATACTAAGTTTACATGTGACAGAGAACTTTAATATCCATCTGCCTGCTCATGTGATGCTAACATTTCTTCCCTTCAAGTTTTATTTAAGTAGTTTAGCTTTAGCAGTTGTAATAGTTCCAACCTTCTATCTGCAGTTTATCTGATAATTTCATGTACTGATATATCTTTCAATCATAATATTGCGGTTTTAATTAGTAAATGTACGTGTTGATTATACTCTGGATATTTACTCAAAGCGAGCATAACTTCTTAGTTCACTCATGCATAGTTAATGTACTTATATAACAAAATGGATTTTCCACCATAAAGGTTTTATAATGGATGAATCATTCAGCTTTTATAGTATCTGCTGGTGGAGAAAAAATTCATTTCATGTTCAGAAGAGGACTTTTGAGTGTTATAGAGTCATAAATTTCAAATCAGCAAGTGGACTCGGATGATTCACGATGAACCACCTCGTTTACAATAGACTTTAGATATTTAGTTTGTATTTATCTCATATTCTAACCTTGCACATACCTTCTTCGGTACGAGTTACCATTTCTCCTCATCTAGCTAGTATCTTTAACTTCATCTGGACTGGACTCGCGGTTAGTTTCAACTATGTATCAACCACCACCAAACTGCAATCTATTAACGTAAAAGTAGATATCAATACGTCTATTTGATTTGTGCGAAGAACTCATTCCTCATTCTTCTTAATTCATTTGTGTAGTTTGTGCAATTCTTGTCCCTTCCTTCATATCTCTATGGGCTTTTAATGGTATGGTTTAAATCTTCCTGTTGCATCTTGAACTATAAGATTCAAGCGCTTCAGTGCAGAAAATTTTAACCTCTTATGGAGCTGATAACGTGCGTGTGTTGATCCGTACTAAATCTAATTTGAGGAGACATATTCCACTTTCTTTTGTTCCTGTACTTCATTTTGTTTTCATCTCATACAGTTTAACGTGTCTTCCTCTTCCTTTTGATGGTGATTCACTTACAAAGCTTGTAAGTTAGTATGTTTTGTATTGAGTTATTATGTAGTGATGTTAATAATATATGATATAGTAGAGTTAGATGCCACTACTTCTACACCGTTTCTGTGCTATTCGCTCTTCGATCTCCTGTTTATGGAGAATATCTGACATACAACCCACTCCTAGCTCATGATGTGTGCCATCCTCTCCTATGTGTTAACATCACACGGTGAGATCGAGTGTTAATCCTACTTCTACCAACTGAGTCTGTACTTAGTGCTAACCCATCTGCTTGCGTAACAACAAAAATACCCTAAATATAGTCCCTACTTCTGCAATTTAGTTTCCCTACTGTAAGGTTGTATGGCTAATTGTATTTCTAAAAAAGACAAATTGGTAGTCCCTACTTGTATTTCGGGTTGCTTCTCCTTCTAGTTTTTCTTCTCTTGAGTTTTGTATTTGATTTCATGTGTATTTGCCTTTTCACTTCTCTCAAGTACGTCCAACCATTGTTGGAGTTGTTCTATTGATGCGTCATCCATTTTGTGAAGTTTTGTTTCTCTATAATCTCGCTCAGCTGCAGGTCACAATGTATGGCAAACAGACTTGAATGTACTGGGGCTAGAGTCATCTGACGGATGTTACAGGTGTAACATCAGTCAGTAGCTCCTATTTCGCACTTCTAGTAGGTATTAGGAAGTATAGTTTACTTCTCTCAACCTTCATTGTTCTCACTATTTCACTCTATGCGTTGATTAAGCTTCTGGAAGCTTCTTGTGGTATGTCGCGGAATCATGTGGCGGAGGAGTAGTGACCTATTAGAGGACACATCTAGTCTAGACAGTTGGGTCTTTTGATCTTGCTTGATTTTTTTCAAAACATTGCATTCAAGTATCATTCGTTTTTGTAGCTGGGTCTGACTTGTAACCATGTTCTTCATGTTATCTGTTATTTGTGTATTACATCACATGGATGGCGGCATACTTCCTTTATTGGAACTAATTCACATACTTCTGGATGTCGGCATGCTTCCTTTTTTGGAACTAATTTACGAACTTCTGTCTGTAGAACCTATGAATGCTTGTGCACTGAATCCGCCAATATTTTCACCAACATTCTATGCTTTGCTCATTTTTTTCCTTTTCCTTTTTATTTATTTTTTAATTTCAAGATGTTATGCTTGGATCATCGCTAACACTTATAATTCAACGGGTTAGTCTCATATATAACACTACATCTTTAGCTTAAATATCTCCTGCTCCTTAGCGGTTGATCACGTGTTATTTCGTTTCACTACCTCAAGATAATATAAATTCTCTTCTAACTCAATTCTTCAATCTACCCCTTTCCTTTCTGTGCTTTCCTCGCCTCAACACTCTTTGATCATCTCAACGACCCAAGAATGACCTACTCTACCTAAGACATAAGATATACTAAGGTGAAGGTAATTCATCATTAGCTCACGTGGAAATTAGTGAGAGATACAATTTCAGATTTGTGTGGATATACATACCTCTTTGCATATTTCTTCCCATCCATTTTGTTATGTTACTCAGTTACTCCTCTCTTTGCGTAATCACTTGCACAGTTTTCATTAGTCATCACTCTCATTATTCTATTATCTGTTCTGAAAACATACAAATATTATGTATGTTTCTAAGCGATGATGGTTTGTATCAACATGTTTACTTACATCGAGCCTTTGGTTTATTTCCAGATTCTCCTGTTTCAGTACTAGCTACAACTTCGGCTCCTGCTCCTTCTCCGGATGTGAGATCGCCTCAAGTTCCATCCAGTAGTGCTCCAGGGTCTCGGCCTCCACCTCCAGGTATCAACAGTCACAGCAGCCCGACTTTGCTTACTTCTTCTCATCCTTCCCTTGTTTCGCCTTAAGTCTCTATTTGTGTCATTGGAAAAGTCGTGTTTCTCAATTATGGGATTTGCTAATTCACAGATTCTGAGTAAAGTTTCCCTTCAACTAAAGACAAAGACGAGTATAGTGTCTTCCACTAAATATTCATGGTGTAAGATACCATGAATATTAAGTGGATTCTCCTCTAAATCCTCCTCTCACAGAAGATAAGAATGGAGGTCTTATCAGACACATATTGTATTCAATTCGATACGGATTCTATATTGAATAGAGAATAGAGAATCCGTAGATTCTCAATGTAGGTGTTAATTGCTCCGTTAGGTCAATTAAGTCCTTGTTGCCATCCGTAGCGACTCAGACCATGTGTCCATGCCTACCGCAACATATTTCAAGCCTGCAATTTTAAGAATGAAGGATATGGTGCCACATCGAACTAAAAGGCTAGATCCACTTTGTCCAGCCCAATTGTGTATCTTGACGTTATACGATCACAGGACACTTTTGAAGAGAAAGCAGTGGAGTTCGTCAATGAAGACCCGCACGCATACAGAATCAACTATTTCTTCAAAACGTTATCAACGGTTTAGAGTCTGTTGTTGCTGTCGAAACTAACATAAACTTTTGAATTTTCTATCCATCTTTGTCTTATTTAATCTTGTTTCTCTATATGTTTTCAGGTGGTTGCTGTACAGCTCGTATGATTCCTAGGCCATGGGACAATGGTGAGAACTGCTCTTGTGTATATCCAATTGAGATCGGCCTTCTACTTGACAACGCGTCGATATCTGTTGCACAGTGGAGTGCGAAGTTCCAACATGAACTTGGCTCACAACTCAACTTGACTGATGCACAAGTTGTGATTAGGGGGGTGCAGTTTGAGAATGGTGAAAACGAGCTAAACTTGACGGTTGATATTGTCCCTTTAACTGGCGACAGGTTCTCTTCCGAAGAGGCCAGTTACATTGAGGCAGCCCTAAAAAATCATGAAGTGGTCCTCAACAGCCAATTATTTGGCAATTATACACTTGAAAGTTTTGTTGTCTTTGGGCCTTCACCTCCCGGTCCTCCATGTAAGTGTTTTGCTCTTTTGGAACTGTTTAATTGCGGACAAACCTGAATATACTTATGTTATCCTATAGATATGGTTAGATCAAATCAAGGAACGGGGATTATTTTGCAAATCTCACACGCCGGCATTATAACGCTTGGACGGGTCAAGCACACTGAAGTCATGCTCTAGTTTGTTGAAGTGTGTCATAACCTTAGATGGTGCAACCCCTACATGGTCCAACTGTTTTGCAGGTAAACGAACATGGTACCGTAACCACTCTCTAAGTACTGCGTGAAACAACTCACATCTTAACCTTTCACTTTCTGATCTCTTAATATATTTCCTGTTCAATTGTGCATCGCTGCAGCGCCTCCTTCTACTCCATATTCACCTGCAGGAGGTCCTCCTCTAGGTGACTCTCAAGGGCCGGGCTCATCAGGAGGCGCAAACGATTCGAGTTTACCACTTATAGTCGGCGTTGCTGCTGGTGGTATTGTATTACTTGTCGTTCTGGCGGGGTTGATCTGGAAGTTCCTGTCTATGGGGAGAGCAGATAAGATGGGTGGAGCTGTGACTAGCAAAAGTATGCGTTCAAAACTTTGTAGGTTCTTGCCGAAGAAGTCTCCTCCTTGTTTCTATAGTATCACTTTATTGGAAGAGATCGATGTGTGAAACTTTAAGTGCCCATATTGTGGACACGCGATGATTGGAGAATGAAGAGAATGAGATGATTTGAGTCGCTGACTAACTCGATCTCTTGCTTTCTCGATGATCAGTAAGCACGATGACCAGGTCGAGTTTGTCTGAAGTAGCATCGACTGACGTGCACCCTTCCAGCACCAGGGTGTTCACATACGAAGAGTTGCGGGAAGCTACCAACAACTTTGACTCCCTTACTCTTCTGGGAGAGGGCGGTTTTGGTCGTGTTTACCGGGGAGTCTTGAAGGATGGTACAGAGGTTGCGATAAAAAAACTTACAAGTGGTGGCCATCAAGGTGACCGTGAGTTTTTGGTTGAGGTCGAAATGCTCAGTCGACTTCATCATCGCCACCTTGTGAAGCTTGTAGGTTACTTCAGTAGCCGTGATACTCTGACGCAGTTGTTGTGCTACGAACTTGTTCCAAATGGCAGCCTCGAATCCTGGCTTCACGGTGAGTACCCTTCAAAAGGTGTGTGTCCTCCTTATGAAAGAGATTTAACTAATTCTACGTTTGCAAGTTAAACAGACGGTTTGAGGTTATTCATATTATTTATTTATATGCTCCTTGTTTTCCTTTTCCCTGTCGTTTTTGGTGTAAATAAATATGAATTATAATAGAAAGAATCCGTTTTTCGGCATGCTGTGTGACATCAAAGTTTCTCAGGTATATATGCTATTGAGGAAAACGTTTGTGGTGCGATGTTGAAGACTCTTTGAACAACTCGCATTTATACGCACGATAGGTTTTGTGTCGATTGGTGTCAATCTTCGTACAATCTGTTACTTTGTTTTGTGAACTTTGTACCTATGAAACTATGACAAAACTTAAACAGCGTAGGGAGTAGGCTCCAGTTTTTTCTTTCGCCATTCTCCTGCTGTTTCCCTCCATCTTACTTTCATGAGGAACGCGAATTTTAGATCCTTGTGGGATTGGACTTCTCACCCGTTCTTTCCATTGAATTTCAGGACATCTCGGTGACCAGCGCCCTTTAGATTGGGACAAGCGGATGAAAATAGCAATTGGTTCTGCTCGAGGCCTTGCTTATTTGCACGAAGACTCTCAACCTTGTGTGATTCACAGAGACTTTAAGGCCTCAAATATCTTACTTGAACACAACTTTACTGCAAAGGTCGCTGATTTCGGACTGGCGAAACAGGCGCCCGAAGGGGCGAGCAATTATGTCTCCACTCGGGTGATGGGAACTTTTGGGTAAGCTATCCTGGGTAGAACAACCCAAGTATTTACGGAGTTTTTGATGTGCAAATTCTTGCCTACTTAGCTGTGCAGTTCCTTCCTCGGAGGGAAAGGTGCACATTGTCATTATTGTTAAATGACCTTGAAACACTGATAAAAATTACATTCACTGATCTGATGACCTTAGTACATCTACAAGGCAGATGCTGAAGCTCGACGTTAATTGTTTTTAACAAAAAGTATTCAACTAACGTTGAAAGAAATGACATTTGCAGGTATGTCGCTCCAGAGTACGCAATGACAGGTCACCTGCTGGTTAAGAGTGATGTGTACAGCTATGGAGTGGTCTTGCTTGAGCTGCTGTCTGGTAGAAAACCTGTAGATATGACGCAGCCTTCTGGACAGGAGAATCTTGTTACATGGGTAAGTCAAAAGTTTACAACCGCTATGTTGATTAGAGTGTGAATTGCCAGCTTTGAGGGTATTCATTAGTCCTACTACACATCATAGACATGCTTCTATAAGGATTGTGGTCATCTTACCTTGTGGAAGTCTCTTCAGGATTTACAACTCTGAGCAGTACACTCCCGTTCCTTGGCTTCAACATGATTCAATAGTGCGAAAAGATTACCAACCATGCATATACGGTGAATACTGCGCAGCTGTCTTCAATTGGAACTTTGCTTACAGTGTAGAATTGTATGGTTGGCAGGCACGCCCTCTCTTGAAGGACAAGGATAGGCTTCCTGAACTCGCCGATCCAAGGTTATACGGGCGGTACCCGAGGGAGGATTTTGCACAGGTTGCTGCCATTGCTGCTGCTTGTGTAGCTCCGGAGGCCAGCCAACGGCCGACTATGGGTGAAGTTGTACAATCGCTAAAATTAGTACAACGTTCAACAAACGAGATGGAGAAAGAAGTGGGTCTTGTTGATACTCCCACATCAGCAAGTATATCCAACAGGTCCTTTACCGTTAGTTGGCAAAACACCCGGCCTACGTCGACGACTTTCGAGTCTGATGGGTCATCATCAATTTTTTCCTCCGGTCCTATTTCTGGCCTAGTTGGACTGGATGGTGACAATCTGTCAAGAACCACAGTCATCTCTGAAGATTTGCAAGAAGGCAGGTAGTGGTGTTTATAGCTGTCCATGGGTCAAGTTCATCCAGCAAATGCAGGCAGCGTTTCACAGGCTTGACAGATCGCTCTGAAGGCAAGTGCAGACAACTGTATCTCATGGTGGCCGTGCAAGGAGGGTAAGGCAGTCATTTTCTCAGGGAACTCATCACAAGGAAGGCCTCTCAAAAGCTATGTTGTTACGACAACAAAACCAGGTGTGATGGGCATTCCCATATGCGAATGACTTTTGAGGTGGTGATCATAATACAGCCTTGTCTGCCAGATTAAACTCATTTGTTTTATGCCTCAGAACTACTCTGAGCATCAGTACGGCCTCTTGTCCTTTTGATTGAGTGCTCATTAGGTCTCTAACATTCTTGGACTTCCTTTTGGAGGAGGCCGTCCAAGGAAATCTGCCGCATGTAGAGCATTTTTCTCCTTGGTCTGAGCCTTGATCGTACTGGGCTTATCTGTCAGTCTTTTTGTCATCGAAAGACAACCATGAACTATCCTTCTCAAGATAACTTGTAGGATGTGCAGGGCTGGCTCAACAGAAGTGGTTAACTTCATGCTAGTCTCTTTTGTCTTGTATCTGCCTCCAAATTTTGATTCCCTAGAAGTGGTCAGCCCAACTGGCGGCTGACCAGTATGAGCGTTCCGCAATTGGGATTCTCTGTCGACATTTCGACTTCTGTAGCGAAAACTTAGCCCATAGCATAGGATTCTCTCCTTTCAGAAGCAAATGCAGTTAAATTTGAAGATAGTCAGAAAAGCTTTGATTGAATGAAGGTGGACAATTGGTTACTCAAAAGTGGCTAATTTGACGACTGGCAATGAATCGCTCTGTCAGGTCTGATGATTAATCTATGCCTTGCATAGTCTTGAGTAATATTCCGTAGCTTTGCTTAGGTATCAAAGACAATGGACAGTGTTTAGAGATCCTCTTAGGAGGACAGCTTTCACAGATTTGTTTTTGCATAGTGCCACTCCTCCTTCATTCTCGCTGAAGGTTCATTGAAATATATCAATATTTTACATAAAGTATATGAAGTCCTGTAGCTACGACCGTGTTTACAACGATCTCCACTTTAGTCCTTTCATGCACATGTTCTTGTCCATCGTTGTGTTTATCTCTTGAGATGTTTTGCAACGTCCTTCGTGAACAACTCTCACGCGGGTCTCCCTTCAGTCGACTGCGATGATGGGGTCACGTGTGATTGTCAAAGAAGGATAGAAGATGGGTTGCTGTGCGATGGTTTAAAAAGTTCGGCCATGTTGTTAGGAAGTATTGTCGGGTACGTCACGAATTTGTTCGATCATAGTGACGATGGCCGTCGTTGTAGAATGTATGTGTGGGCTCACCGCAAGGAATTTGACTATCCCTCACTGGGATGGTCCACATTTCTTGTGCAAGAAGTGTCTATCTCAGACTGAGTCGGTTCTTATTGACTTGATTGCTGGAGCTGCTTTTGCAACGTGTCCAAAGGAAATTTACGCAAGATGCGTCATACACTTACGTACGTGCACCTCAGGTTAACTTGCAGTCTTCATCCACAGTTTTTAATCTGTTTTTTTAATACTAATAAAATTCAAAAACTTGACACTTCTCAAAAGTTGACAAAAAAACTGTCTTTACTACTAATCCATCTTTCGTTGAAAGTCTGACATTTCAAACTAAGAGCTTGAGAAGTGACATATGTCAAAATAAGAGACTCATTTCTGTTATCCACGCCGTGATTGTACCGTTGGCGTTTACAGGGTACAATACTAGGGTCACGCAATGCCGATGTAAAAGCGGCTGCGTGTAGAGCAACCACTTGATGAACGCATGGTGCACACAATCCTTCAAATATTACATGGTTGGGGTTGCAACCCAAACAAAGGTTCATGATGTTCAGGTTCCATGTTCGTGAATGCAATGCCGAACGACTGAAACCATAATAACTGATATCTATGGAGTAGTGGGGTATTGCAGTACTCGATGAAAACTTCCTTCTACTATATGATTATGATGGAATGGATATTTTGCTTCGTTCTATGTCGTGCAGGATAGATCGGTGATGAGGAACACGGGAGTGTGACATCTTTCTCTCGAGGGAAAAAGATCCCTTCTCTTGGAAACAGAATCTAACTTTGTATTGGGCACTGGAATCTACCTCATATTTCCCAATACAATATATTCCTGTACTAACGTGATCCTTGCTTTACAGAATGTAAGCAATATAGAAGACTGAGTGTATGTGACTCACAAAATGGTACTGAAATTTAAAGCGACCATTCAATAAACTCCTGATGCCCTTCACTTGAAATTGATATAGTCAGAATATTGTAACGACTCATCAACTGTATTCATCTCGCTTAAAATACAGTTCTCTGCAACGAAACAAACAATATATCCACGACCCTCCTCACAACTTGAAGCATAACTTTTAATAGAGTATAACATAGCCAAAAGTGAGAAGGCAGAATTTACAGTAGAGATATACGATACACACATCTGTAGATGAAATAGTTTGCTTCGATTAACTTTTCGACTTTTTTTGGAGATCCGAAAAACTCGCATGATTATGAATACAAGGATATGAAGATGAAGTTGATACTAATACAAGGGAGGCTTGAAATGTTGTGTATACTCTTCTCCAAGAGTGAGAGTACAGCCACAGAAGCCCAGCAGAATTTTCATTCGCATAATAAAAGTTCAATAATATACGTGATAAAGTATTCTACTTTCTTTCAAATTGAATAAATTAAGCTACACCAGTCCTCTGTGATTATACACATGCGACATACGACATACGGAGGAAAAACAAGAGCACAACCTACTATGTTATCTGCTTGTAAGACCGAATCTTCTCTGAGCTGCCTTAAGAGTATTTGAGAGCAGCATTGCAGTTGTCATAGGACCCACTCCACCAGGGACGGGCGTAATAGCCGATGCAACCCTTTCTGCCTCCTCAAAACAGACGTCTCCAATCACGCGGAAGCCTGATTCCATTTCGGGATCCTGCAAGTGCGAGTACAACTAATTAGACACGAGTTCACCTCGGACTTTCAGTTCACAAGAGAAGGGAAAAAAAATTCTGGCAATGGTACCTGAACAACTGATACAGACAGAAACCAAAAGAATGATACCTCAATAGCAGTAGTTCCCACGTCAATTACAATTGCCCCTGGTTTCAACCAATCACCTCTAACCAGTTGAGGCACTCCTGTTGCCGAAACAACAATATCAGCGTTCTTTGTGGCTTCCATTGGGTTCGGTGTGTCTACTTGCACAATTGTCACTGATGCTTTATGTTTCTGCAAGTATTGTAAGCGGACGAAGAGCCTCTCAGTTAGTATAACAGACAAATAATCACTTCGAACAGCCTACAGACCAGTACTCTTACTTGTCATATCTTCACAACTTCAGAGATAACACCCTCATTTCACAGAATTCTTAAATACTTCAAGGAAGCCACATGATAAGGAAAGGATAAAATGTGGTAAGCCGGAATGTAATACCTGTAACAGAATAGCGGTAGGAAATCCTACAACATTGCTGCATCCAATAACGACTGCCTGCTTCTTCTCCACATCAACTCCATAACGAAGTAAAAGCTCTAGACAACCGAGTGGTGTGCATGGAACAAAAGTCGGATCCAGATTACTGAGACCGGCTAGTCTACCGACATTCACAGGGTTTAACCCATCCACGTCCTTCTCCAAGCTTACACCATTTAGGACAGTATCTGTATGAATATGCTGCACCCATAAAACCGTGTACAATAATCGTTAGGCACGTACTTACAATTGATGATTGAGTCTTAAGCATAAACCACGAGCTCCTCTTTACTTCAAAAATGGACGATTTTGACGAGGCAAACGACGTTAAGTTCCAGTTACAGAGAATGTCTTCACCCTGGAGACAGAATTGATAATGGATTATAACTTACGCTAGGTAGAGGCAGCTGTACAAGTATGCCATGCACTCGCGAATCCTGGTTGTATCTCTGAATCACTTCGAGCACGTCGTCTTCTGAAGCCGACCCGGAAAGATGAGTGACATATGACTTGATGCCCACTTCGTCGCATGCGGCTTCTTTGACTCGTACATACAGCTCTGAATCCTTGCGATCTCCAACGCGAACCATTGCTAAACCAGGAACTGTCCCCACTTTTTCGTTCATCCATGCCACCTGCTTAGACAATGTCATTTTGATGTCATACGCGATAGCCCTGCCGTCGATCTTCACTGCCGTCGAATTTGCTGCGCAAGAATGAATAGAGTTCAAATTGTGGGCACTGGGACAAGTTTTATTGTAGAGAGCATAACAATACAATCACAGAGCACGGGATGAGCACTAGCACCCAGAACTTTTTACTCAAAAAAGATGAGGCCATCTAAGTCTAACCATGAAATCAAACTCGCAGATTTTCAAAGTGCGGAGCTAAAACGTGCACACTCGAGAAGAATGTGAAAGACCACATCAGCTCAGGCGGAGAAACTTCTTACGTGGCTCCAGGACCAGTTTTCTAACAGCGACCCATTCCAAGAGCAGAATGTAAGCTGTAAAATGATCAAGTAGAAGTACCTTGCTTAAAAGAAGATGGCAGGAGAGGGCCCTGTGATGGACTCGCAGTGAAGGGAACCCAGAAGGGCACTTTCTTGTTTCCACCGGTGGTAGAAGTGCACATCAATGAATCATCGTCAAAGGCGACAGCCATGCACATGCCTCTCCCAGAGAGAACTCGCCCCATGATTTCTCCTAACCCAAACCCTAATCGTCCCGTAACCAGCCATATTGACCGATGCATTGCACCAATGCGTTGTACAAGATTCAATGGCTGGTTTCAAACTCGAGACCAATTTTTTTCCCACGATAGTTGGTCTGTCTAAGAACTCCCGCAGACTGCTAACAGACAAACTAATGAGCTTCAAAAGCGTGGGAACTCTCGTCGTCAATCAAACACGAGATCCAATCCCTTCCATTGCTGTGAACGGGATTCGTCCGGAATGGCCAGCAACCGCGATACCAGCGGTGGCTACATCCACCCTCAACCTCTTTCGCGCATCAGGATTCTCCTCATCAAAGGCACGACGGCTTCTTTCTCCCGTGAGACATTCTCGCGAGCCGCCTCATTCCATTGCAACTTCACCAACGAAACAACCATTAATGAACCTCCTCAGCTCGAATGGCTGCCGGAATCCCTCCGTCCCCCGCAGCCTCCTGGAGCAGCCCCAACGAAATCGGGCAACAAAAAATACAAACGACAAACACACCATCAACAACCTGCTGCCTTCCAGGCCCCAGAGGCCTGCACTCGTCGACCGCAATCCCCCCGGCTCCGAATTCCAACCATCCTGCTCACTCCTGCCTCCCTGCCTCCCTCCCTCCCCTGCTTGCTCGAACGGGCGAACTCAGCAGCGGACGAAGAAACTACTCCAGCGCTGGGAGCTCGACTGGCCGTCGGGGAGTGAGGCGGAAATGGCCGCCAGGTCGGACCGCGTCCGGCCGCCAGGTCCACCTTCCGCCCCACGTCAACGTCCACCGACGGTGCCATTGGCCCGAAGCGTGCCCTCCACGTTCCACGGATCCGAAATTCTCCCACGATTCGCACTCTCGGCCTTCGGATGCGCTGGAAGTGCCGACAGGATTCGACAACGTAGAGCGTAGAATATTCGCCCGCGCGTCCACTTTCTCCTGCTTCTCTGGGGCAGGTGTTGAGGTGGACCTGCGACGGGCCTGCGATGCGGGCGATCCCACGGTGGGGGCCTAGTCCAGGTCTACGTGTCGTAGGCCCCCAGCCCCAACTTGCGCGGCCTGGACGTCATCCTGGAAGACCTGGACTGGGAAGTTGGACAGCGGGTGACTGCGTGACGAATGACCACGTGGGAAGCGTCTGGACGTGGTACCCAATAAGAAGCCGCTGCGGTCGGGGCCGGTCTCTAGACAGCAACAGCCGCCGCGTTCCGTCTTGCGCCGGCCGACCTTCTGTCATCCCAGGGAATTTGACACGTGGCGCATGCTCGCAATCCTCTTTGATACCATCGCTTATCTCCCCCTGGATGTTCCGAGTCCCAGCCGACGTGAGAACCGCGCGATCTGATTTTTTTTCGAGTTTCTGAGCTCCGCCCCTTCCTAACCCAATCCAGATCTCCTTTTATAATCGATCATCCATTCGAAGTCCTCTCGCCTCGTTCAATCGGCAGCTCTTGCAGCTTTCTGGGCACTGATTGATCTTCACAGTGGATAGGCACAGTCAGAGGGAAACTCCCCCATATCCTTATTCCAATTGCTCCATGTGCTCGACGAGCTAAATCAATCCGCAAACTGATCCCATCAGCAACCCTCTACACCTGTTCATTGTTTCATTGGTATCCGGAACAGGACCGATTGCTTGGGTCGCTCTATGTCTGCATCAGATAGAAATCATCATAGCAGTACTTGTGTTGTACTTGCTTGATATATCATTTTAGATTGCAGATCGTTCAGATGGAGTCGGTATTATCTTGATGGCTAGTATTTCCAGGCGGTTAGTTAGCACCATATGGAGGCAGAAAACTGTGGGCGATTAAATGAAGCATATCTTCGAAACCTGGACTTGGAAATCTGTCCATAAATTAGTCTCGGTGCTCTGAATTAGTCCTGATTCCCGATGCTGTTCACCTCACACAAGAGATCAGATGAGTCCAAGTTAGACTGCCGCCAGAGTCCCACCGCAGTTCTTTCCTAAGTTGATGCTACAGGGGCCGAGCTAACTCTTAGCCTTGTGGATTCGTCTATGTAACATTTGATGTGCTCTGCTAGTCCCATCTTTTTTTTATCTTTACTTGATGTCTTCTTGTTAAACACTTTCGGATCGTAAGTAATATTTATATCTCGATTTGTGCGTGTCATCCTTATCGTAGACTGTGTGACTGTGCACAGAAATACACCCAGTTCAAGATTCCATACATGAATTTAAAATTAATTTGCTCAAGCAAACAACAAAACTGGATCAAGGCAAAATTCGTCAGATAATTTCTCGACTTATCTTGACTGCACCTTGCACTCGTCAATCCTCTCAAAAAAGGTTGACCATGAAACGTTAGTAGGAATGTAGATGAACATTAACTCTCATGTCCGAGGAAGATGATGCTTGAAGACAAACAAGCTAAAGAACAATAATGCAACTTATGAAACGTAAGAAAGACGTGAGTCCCACATACCACTCGAAACACTTCTTGCTCTTTTCTACTAATCATTTCTAAATTGCCCCTATAATTTTAAATTATTGAACTATAAATTTTGACATCGTAAAACAAGGAATATTTCATGAAGTAGCTCAAATAACTGGAGGATGTGTAGAAAAATGTTTAGATTTCAATAATCATATAGCAATCTATTAAGAATCTTGTCAAAAGATAAACAAAATTGTTGTCAACCATAAGTCAAGAAGTATTTTCTTTAACATGTTGAGTGTTCCAAATAACAACTCACTTTAAACTTGAAATAATACTCGAAGTTTCAAAATTGGAATTACTAACACTCCAAGCGAGAAAGTTGGAAATAGTTACATTCGAACCCAGGAAACTGAAAATATCATTGATACTCGAAGAGCAAAGAGAACTAGTTTTGATTAAAGTATGATTTAGTGTTGATGTTTATTCAGACTTGTTGAATTTTGAATATCTTTGGCACTCGGTTTTATTGGATATTGACGATAAAACGTTTTGATCATTTTGGCAACGCTAGTTTAGTCAAGTTTGCAAGTTTACTTCATAGCCTTGCCAATGTATAATATATTTTAATCTCCTCTAATTAATGCGAGAGTTTATAATCTTAGAAATTTTGATTTATGTAGAAGAGGATAATCTTAGAAATTTCAAATTCTTCTTCTTTGTTAATCTCAATAGATTGCGAAAATGCTCGCAATCTAAAAGATTTATATAGGTTAATGACATGTGCAACGTTTGAAAATTAATCATATGGTAATGGTAAATAGATCAAGCCCGTGGTATCCAAAGGGTCAAAAGGCTAAATAATACAATACAAAAAATCCAACTCCAAACAAGGAGAGAACATATAGAACCCCCTAGCTAGTGTCCAAAGCACTAGAACGGTAACAAATAACATCCCTAATGTAACAACCTAAATCATAAGGCTCAAGCTGAAGCAAAGAATAAAAATTCTCAACAACAACTTTATGAGCCACTCTGATCTCTACATATCTAGTACAAGTAAGAAATACATGCTCTTCATCCTCAACTTTCCTACCATCACATAGCCTACAAATACGTTCACTCCTATCAATGTTCAACCAACGCCCTTCTTCAATCCCAAGACTATGAGATCCTGTTCTATGTCTAGCAATAATATGACATAAAGAAGTAGATATCTCAGCAAGTAAGTATCCTTGCTCACAATAAACAAGCATAGGATTCACATGAAGTTGATAAAACTGCATCTTGGTGCCTCGTCTGCTCCACATAATGCTGAGAAATTCCTCCTTAATACGCTCGCGTAGGGCAATAGGTTGCAAATCCCAATCGAGTTCCGTCACATTCCACCTCAAAGACCAAGTCACCACATCTGCAAACCAACCCTTGGAACGTGTGGCACGCAAAGCTTCAAGAGTAAGTTCAGAAGCATCAAGAGATCTCACTCTTTTGACGTAAGTGATAGTCAAAAAGAGAGCTTCAGCCTCAAGAGGTAGACAACCTGTTTCCGCAAGAAGAATTGCATAAGAAGTTTGGGTACTCACACCCAATTCTTCTTGTAAGAAGATCTTTTGCACCCTCTCCAAACGCTACCAACCTGTCTTCTTACAACCAGGAGCTCACACTTGTGTTCCATATAAGATAACAGGAAACACTAAGCTCCTGATAAGAATTTTCTAAGACTCCAAGACACTAGATGAGCTCCTATCTATTTAGCAATGAATATAGAGCTTTGAAACCAGCTTCTACCCTCTTTTGCACACAAAGTGCCCAATATAATCAGATGAGAAATCAATGTCCAAATATTTGTAACTTTTCACTTGTTCCAACTCTAATCCTTTGTAACAGAAAGAAAGCTTGGATCTAGTGCCCACAAGAATGACTTTGGTCTTCTCCAAATTGACCTTCATCTTATTTTGAGTACAAAAGCTAGCCAAAGTGTCAAGGTGTTTTTGTAAACTAATGGCATCACGTGCTAGTAATATGACATCATCTGCATACAAAAGAGCTTTGATGACAAAGCCTCCAAGTTTAACACCTTTGCTATCACAATCCTCCAACCATCTTTCTATATCATCTATGAAAACTCCAAAGAGAGTAGGAGAGAGAGTACAACCTTGAATGACTCCAATGGTGTTGATAATCTCTTCGGTTTGAGAAGTGTTGATCTTGGCTCCAACTGAGTGGTATAATGTAGCCACCGCTGCTAAGAGATCTGATGGTACTCCAATGGTTTGCAATCTTTGCCATAAAAGCTCACGAGTTACTGTGTCAAAAGCTTTCTTGAAATCAATGAATGCACAAAACAAAGCTTTTCCATTACCCTTGGATTTCTCCCATAGAACACGTAAAATCAAGATATGGTCTATAGTGTTGAATGTAGGACGAAAATCAGCTTGGAACCGCGCTTTATTCTGACAAGATTCAGCCCATGAGCTCAACTTTGACTCCACCAATTTGCCAAATAACTTGGCAAAAATACTACCCACCATGATAGTGCGATAGTTTGTCACCAAGGCCTTGCTCCCAGATTTGTGAATAGGAACAATCTTCCGTAGAGACCAAGATGAAGGAAAGCCATGAATAGGAGCATACTCTAACACTTTCGTGAGTATAGGCCCAATAGCATCTCCTTCCCTCTCGAGAAGTTCAATGGAAAGCCCATCCAAATCCTCAAATTTGCCAATTGTCTGAGTTGAGTCATCACTTCAACTTTTGAAAATAAGCTTGGATTTCCTTCACAATGTGGCATTGATGCAACATTGGGAAAAAAATAAAGCTTTTCAGCAAAAGAAATCAAAGACTTGGGATCAAGAGTAGGTTTAGAAGATCGTACTTCCAACCGCCTCCAAAAGGATTTGGGATTCTCCAAAAGGTCCTTTGACAAGCACTATTGCTTCTGCCTCAAAAATGCTTGTTTCTTGGACTTCATCAAGTCTTTGTAAAGTCTTGTCATAATCAACCGATTGTGAAGATCCAAGGATTTATCAAGTGATCTCGCCCTCGCTTGCTTGCAATCAAAGTCAAACCATCCATTGCAAGGAATACCTCTACCTCTCCTAGTCTTATGTGTCAAAAAGAACTTAGAAGCAGAGTTTTGGAGCAACTCAGTTAGTTGCAAACTAGATGTATGTGGATCAAGGCTCCAAGTAGTACAAGTCAAGAGGTCTTGGAAATGTTCACTGTAAAGTTGCTTCTTACTAGCATCTAAACAAAACTTGGAGGAAGTAAAAAC